GCAGACCTGGCCGAACCGGCCGGCTCTGCCCCCACCCGAGAAAATGGAGGCAGCCCTGGGGCCGGTGGCTGGTCTGGTGTGGCAGGCAGGAGACGGACGGGGGTCTGCCTCGTAAGCAGGGCTGGGCTGTGGGTCACTCACAGAGCTGAACAGTCTGGGCGGCTCTCTCTCCGTTTCCGCGTTGGCGTGGACCCCGTCTTTGGTCTCTGGTCTCTGCCGCCTGGGGCTGTTTACTCGGTCGGCAGCACGGCTCGGGTGCTCTCAGGAATCTTCTTTTGTGTCGGCCCTAAACTTCGAGTCTGTTGCTTTTTTTATAGTTGTAGATTAGTTGTTCAAAGACTTATTTGTTTTTTGTTGCTCTTGGAAATGCAGATAGCACTCTGGCAGCTCAGTGCATGCTTCTCAGGCTCACGCTGTCTTCTGGCGCCCCCTCTCCAGACCCGTCGCCATCTTCCCAACCTCTCTCAGCTATTTTGAAATATACAATACATTATTGTTCACTGTAGTCACCCTGCAGTGCAATAGGTCTCAAAAACTTATTCCTTCTTTCTAAATGAAACCTTGGACTCTTTGATCAACAACTCCCCATTCCCTTTCCCCCACCCCAGCCATAAAAAAGAAGGAAATCCTGTCATTTGCCATGACATGGATGAAGCTGTAGGACATTTTGCTAAGTGAAACAAGCCAGGCACAGAAAGAGAAATGATCTCACTTATGTGTGGAATCTGACACCTTTTAATGAAAATCTTTTTTTATTATTGGTTATAAATATTCATGAGATACAAAGCTGATTGTCACCCCTCGTGCCCAAAATGTGAAAGCCAGATTCATACTGGCAGCATACCCATTATCACAAATTGCATTTGTACCTGGTGTGCATTCTCCCTCCTCCTTTCCCCTCTACTCCACTTTGTATCCCAAGGAATGTTCTCTCCCTATGCAAGTCCAACTCCCTACTGTGGTCTTTCTTTCCTTCCTACTTTCTTCCCACATAGTGATTCACATTACCATTTAGAGAGCTTGTCAGTTCAGTGAAACATTCATGTGTGCTGACTGTATACTAATCAGGAGGGATACAGCAGTGTATAAGACCTCATGTAATCTTTGAGGAACTCACGTTTTAATAAAGAGACGTCAGGCAGCTAGAACATCAGCAAAGAAGCAGAGATATCAAAGTGAAAGAAGTATCTCACAGAGTAGTAGAAGGTGGCAATGGGGTTGGTAAGACTATTTTGGTATGGAGCGCAGACTTAATTTTGTAGATTACATGTTTTCAAACATTTTTAGCATCAGAAGCCTAATTTCAAAGGAAATAACCACAACAATTACAATATTAATCACTGAATCAGCTAGCATATGTTGATTATTTATCATGATACTGTGCTGAGAACTCCATGCATTGTCTTTCTTCTTCATAGCAACCCTAAAAGATAGGCTTTGGTTTTGTTTTGTTTTGTTTTTCATTTTACCAACTGAGGTTCAGGGGGATTAATATATAAAACAAGTTGAAGCAAAGCTTCTCTTCCTAAATTGCTTTTGTGGAACAGAATTTCCACTTGAAATTCCATTTGAAAACCATTGCCCAAAAGGATGGGAAGATATCGAAGGGTTTGAGGAATAAAAGTGACATAAACAGATTTGTATTTTATGTCCATCATTCTGGAAACTGTCTGGATGATAGATTTGAAGGGAATATGAACTGGATCAGGAAAACCAGTTATGAAACTATTAAGTTAGTCCAAGTGAGAAAAGATTAGAAATCTAAACTATAGGTTCTGATGTATCACCTGTGATAAATTGGAAATGATAAAAGGGAATAGCAGTTAATAATGGACCAAGAAGAAATTTGCACATGTCACATGAAGGGGTAAGCTATGGTAAAGAAAAGAATAGGAAGTATTTTACTTTGAGAAGACAGATGAGGACTCTTTATTTAGTGAGTTCATGTGATTAAGGTTGAAGTGATATAATGAAAATGTTTTGGGTCAGTAATAAAAAGGAGAAAATAAATGATGTACTTATTTAACTTCAGTTTGAGAAGCATGCATGTTGTGTTTTTTAAAGTTACATCAAAAAAAAAAAACAGAGCTTATAAATTCCATACTGGCAGGAGAAATCAAAAAGAAATTAAAAGAAGAGGTAGAACAAATAAAAAGAATATAATAATATACTATATATCTATGTGTATTGTGTATGTGTCAATAATTACAATAAATATACATTGATTACATGATTAAAAGACAAACGTCAGACTGAATTTAATTATATCAACTGTAAACCATTTACAAAAAGTAGAGAAAGGTTAAAGTAAAAAGATGAAAAAAGACTAGGCAAATTTCAACAACAAAGCTGGTGTGGTTATATTAACATCAGACAAATAGACTTTAATGAGGGGAGAAAGTTAGTAGAAAAGTGCCAGTGTGTAAAACAAGAACTTAAGTTCAGACCTTAGAAATGAAGTTGAAAAGAAGGTAATGTATATTTCTAAAAAAGTAATATGTTCAATGAACTTTGCACTGCCTTGAAGAATAAAGGCAAAACTGAAAGTGTAGGATAACAAATACCCATAGGTTAATGAAATGTATAGTTTAAACAAAATTTTCCTTCAGAGATTACAAAATATTGGCTTTTCCTTTCCATGTCATTCTAAGTCTATGATTATTGGCAACACATATAAATTTAAATGCACTTGGTAAGCCTTTGCTCTTGTGTTTTCAGGAATTCAAAATGTCCTCAGCCTCTTTTGTGCAGTCCTCACAGAAAATAAAGTTCTCTTCCATTCTGCAAGTTTCCAGAGACTTAGCGATGCTTGTAGAGCCCTGGAATCTTTAATGTTTCCTCTTAAGTATAGGTGAGGTTTTTTTACTCGGTAATTGTGTTTACTCCCAAATTATGCATTACTTATTGATAATAAGTCAAAATGTCATGGCACGATGATCTTTGAGCAAGGCATAAATATTTTCCAGTTACACCCTTCTGAGAGTCATGATTCCGGTAAAATCTAGCCTAGAATTTGGGATTTTTCCAAGTTGTCCATTACTGAGTGTTGATTAGTTTAGTGAAAAAAATATTTAATTTGAATAGTATTGTCAGCAACATTTAATTCTTTTTGAATATAGTTGGTGATAAAAGTCTTTAGTTAGTTCTGAGTATTTGATATTAAAGGGTCATTATTAATTTTAAGGGTTATAATTAATATAATTAATTAATTCTATTAATTAAAATATTATGGTTCTATTAATTAAAAGAGCCCCTATCTTTTTTTAGATATTACTAAAGTATTTATGTATAAAAATATAATTAATTAATTCTATTAATTAAAAGAGCCCCTATCTTTTTTTAGATATTACTAAAGTATTTATGTATAAAATGATGTTTGGGCGTTGCTCCAAAATAATACAGTAGAGAAGAAAACAATAGTGCTATAAATAGTATATTTTAGTCTAATATACTGTTTAATCAATTCGATAATCATAACATCTACGAAACTTAAGTTTATAGAAAATAGATAAAATTTTAGACTGTCTCCAAAATTTCTCTAAAATTTTTTTATCTGTGTGCTTTTCTTAACCTTTTAGATAAGATAGAGTGTTCTTGGCCTGATTTTTAAATTTTTTTTTAAATTTTTTATTTTATGTGTTACCATTCTAATTGAATGCAAACATCAAGTATAGAAAATGGAATTTGAATGATTGTTTTATATGGACAAGTCATGATCTAGTATTGACAGGGGAGACCCTATCAGGGAGTCAGTGTTAGTGTCTAATTGTCTAATGTCAGGTTTCTATTTAAGGAAAAACGTTTTCAAACAATGTTTAAAGACCTGAAGAGATTGCTTGCCTGGGAGGAATAAGAGATAAGGAAGCTGGCCTGGGTTTTATTTACTTTATATCTTGTTATACTTGATCATATCCTTCACATGATGATTTTTTTTTAAATCAGTCCTTTCAAAATTTTAGTATTAACAAGTATGATAATATTATTGATAATTTGTACACATAGGTAATCTAAAATTCATACAGCATAAAACATGAAACAGTGTTTATATTGTGGAAAAACAAATATATCTGACAAATGTTTTTATTATTTCCAGTTATCCTTATATTCCCATTCTCCCGGCTCAGCTACTGGAAGTTCTAAGTTCCCCAACACCTTTTATTATTGGAGTACATTCTGTCTTTAAAACTGATATCCATGAGCTTGTAAGTATTCATCTTTAATATTTCCACTTTCTGAGTCCAGAAGTCTGTTATACTTATTTGAGTCCTATAACATTTCAACTGATTACTGTTTTCAGTTCGGTTGCATTTTCAGTAGAAAAGATTGGCTGGAAGATAAACATCATTGAAGAGAAGTCTAAATATATTAATTTTGCCATATAGCAAGTATCGGCAATTTTAAAAAGAAATCTATTAATATTTTTAAATACTCTTCTTTCAGCATAAGTTTACTTTCTGTATTTCTCATCCTATATACGTAAAAGGAAGGTAAAATAACCTATTAGTTAATATTCTACTTATACTTTTATTATTAGTTCATAATTTATTCATATTTTGAAGTGAGGCCTCTCTTACTGCTGAATGGCTGATGACTAACAAAACAAAAAAGCCTTTTTTTATGGGGGAAAAAAAAAGAGTGAAGGGTTTTAGTGGAACACAAGTTCAATATAAGCCCCCCACTGAATTTTTGTATTTTTAATGCCATATGAATAGAAATGCCAAAGAAAGAAAAGTAAAACTCTACATTCAAGCCAGTTCTGGAATAATCCTTTTAGTTTTGTATATCACACTTTAAGAGGGACGGAGAAGGAAATCCAGGATTGCCAACAGTTTAGAAACTGTAAGGCCCTAGGGAAATTCTCTCAAGTAATTATCCGACACTATTTGATAGCTAAAGATAAATATTTATGTGGCTGTCATACAGAGGAAAGGTAAGATTCATTTTTTGTAATTCCAAAAGGCTGAAATAAAATCAGTGGGTATTGTGGATATAGAAACAGATTTCTTCTCAATACAAATGTTTCCAACTATTAGAGCTGCCCAGTGATAGAATGGGTTTCTGTATGTGAGTTGAGGAGTGTACTCTTAAGCACTCTAAGTAGAATGTAAGGAACAGATCACATGATACTTTTCAGGGAGTATAAGAAAAATTCTTCACTGGGAGGTTAGACTACATGACATCTATGATCTACAGATCCTTAAGACTTTGTACTTCTACCTCCGTTTTCAGTGCCAGCAAAGAAGTAAGCTCTTTTGGTACTTAGATGGTAGTTACAGTTGCAATTAAATCAGAGATGTCACTTAAACTAACAAAAGATTATTCAACATTATAAACAGGACCATTATTCATATATTAGTCACTCTTTCTAACCTTATATGTTGATATCTAGTTCTATTTAACTTTGATATCACCATATAAAAATGTGTGTAAATCAGTAGACATATAAGGTAAAACCCAATTAGTACTAATTAAAAGCATATTCATCTGGTTTGGAAATAATTTTCTTACCACTAAATATAAACAATCACTGGAGATGATAAACCAAATGCTGTCACCAAATGTGAGTTTCATAAATTCGAATGAATTATAATCATATTACCCACATAACAATTTCACTAATCTTGGCTAGTTTCTCTTATGTTTCTGTGTAACTTATTTTTTAAATTTAATTTTGTTTTTTAAATTTTATTTTATTGACTCATAATAATTTTACATATGAGTATTTATGGCATACATAAACTGTGATATTTCAATACATGTAATTGGCAACCCTGTCAAAATCCTCTCTTGCTAGTTTGAAATATACAATATATTACTGTTAATCATAGTCACCTCACAGTGTATTGGAATACTACTGCTAATTCCTCGTACCTACCTGTTAAGTTTGTACCCATTGACCAGCCTCTTCCCATCCTCCCATATCTGGTACCCCTCCCAGCCTCTGGCAATCACAAGTCTGCTGTTTTATGTAAGTTATTTTTAAGTAGACTCTTGTAAAATGTTACAAGTCAGTTTTTTTCTTAAGTACCTAAACAGTACCCTTTTGATTTATACTAATTGCTTTGTTCATTAACTCTAAGCAAATACTAATTTATTTGGCTAAACTACTATAATAAAGAATCCAGAATGCAATGGCTCAAACAAAGTGGAATTTTATTTAATATTCATGCAACAGTCCGTAGAGATGTTCCATTATGCTAGACCATTTTGCTGCATGAAGTCATTCAAGGTCTAAACTGCCTTCAGTCTTGTTTTTCCACCAGAATCCCCTCAGGCATTGTCATTATCTGAATGCTCAAGGCTGGGTTGTTGCCAGTTCATAGTTTCAGCTTATGGGAAGAGAGAGAGCATAGGAGAGCCTTACATACCCCCTATGTTGAAGGGCTGGAAGGCACATATCACTTCTCATGTTCCATTGACAGAAATTTAGTTAGATGCCATACATAATTTCATAGAAAGCTGGGAAATAGAGGGTAGCTGAGAAGCCATGAATCCAGAATTCTCTTACTATGTACAGCCAAGAGTCAATTCCAAACCTGGTCTTTCTCAAATTAGTCAAGGCCAAATTAATTTGCTTGAGAACAAATATACTTTATACACTATTAATTATAGGTTTATTTTTTTGTTTTTTGTCTCAGTTGGATGTAATCATAGCAGATTTGGATGGAGGCACTATTAAAATTCCTGAATGTATTCACCTCTCTGCCCTCCCGGAACCACTTCTACATCAGACTCAAGTAGCTCTTTCTTTGGTATGACATGTTTTTTTAATAGTAATTTTCTCTTGATTTAAGTCTGAAACTACAATAGTTGGAATTAAAAATTACTCTCAGTGTAATTACTTGAAAAAGTTGTATGTTTGAAATATGAGTATATTCTCATTTAGTGTTTAGAATTCTTCATTTACTAGGTAATTTTCTAAAGAATATACTTTGACTCCTAACTGAATATTTATTCTACATTCATTCCTTCATTCGGTATATTTATTTAGTAGCTACTCTATACGATATACTGCGCAAGATATTATAAATACACCTGTGAAAACACTACAAGATTCTGCCTCAAAATCCCTGATGCCCCTAACATCCCTCATAAGAAGTTAGTTTCTGTTTGCTAACCTCATTATTGACATCTCATTCCTCCTTAGTAGAGTGCTACCTACAAAAGTGTGTGATATTATCTTGCCAAAGTTTTCAAGTTACTACAGAAAGATGTGACTTATTGATACATTAAATTTCCAGCATTCCATGCAGTATTGTTTTAAAAAATCATGTAGCCTGGGTTTTTCTCATTGAGACAGATTTAATTTTTTGTAGTTATTTTACCTTAGTTGATTTTTAAAAACACATTATGTTATTTTACTGAGGGCCTTTTAGGTGCTCATTTACACATCACCAGAAAATTGAACCATAGAAATTCTGCATTTCTTTTCAAGACATTACTAGAACCAAGTCCTTTGTATTCTTCTCTAATAATATTCCAGTCTGGGCAGTTTAAAACTGTTTGTTTTGTTTTTGTTTTTTTCCTTAAATAGAAACTTAGAAGTCTAGGATTACCAGAAGAGATTTTATACTCAGAAAACTTCCAAATTTGTATGAGTTCTTGTGTTGTTATAGTGTTATCTATGAAATGGGAACTTTTAGAGAAGACTGACTTTTTAAAATATAATTTGCAATCTGGAATACAAGGTATGGTAGAATGGAAAAGACACTAATGTAAGACAAAGGAGATCTAAATTTTAGTCAGTGTGCATTCTACCACTTGATATTATTGAGCAAATCACATCCCTTCTCCAGGCCTGTTTCCTAGTCTTTATCTATAGGATGAATGTTTAATATAGAGGTGACTAGGTGACTGTTTCACAAAGTGAAGCTTGGAGATGATCTTGGGTGGTATATGACCAACATTTTTTATTTTTAATAATTATGTGTTTATTATAATTTATATTTTAAATAGCATGTAAAACCCATGATTTCATAGATGATAAAATCTAAGAAAATACTAGGTTTAAAAGGGTGAGTTGAATTAAAGACAATTTAAAGAAAAATATTAACTATATAATTGCATAGATGGTGTATGGGTGTAGCAAAAGCTGAGAAAGTAGTATTTGAATGACTGAAGAAAGTTTATAGAAATCTTATAGTGAATAAATCTTATAAGTGATTACAGATAGTGATATTAACAATTATTCAGGGATTAAGTGCCAAAATTAACAAAGATTAAGACTTTAGTTCTTAAATTGATGGTTCCTGTGGGGTTTCTGCTGCACACTGGTATACCTTAGCCTGCAACACTTGTAGCACCAAATTTGATCAATGTGTAAAATTCATTTCTGGTAAAACTGAGTATACCTGTTGTTACAGTTATCAAGCACAGTGGAGGATTATATGCTACAGTGTACTACTGTGTATAAGAGATAAGAGCATAATATGTTGTCAAACTAGGACCAAAAAGAGATCAGATTTGATGGACATGTGGGAGCTTTGACACACAAATATATGAGCTTTGTTTGGTTAGTAAATAATTGTAATTAAATAGCAGCACAGTAAACTGTAATAACCATGGATGATTTTATAGACACCAAGACATTATACAGCGGTAGCAATTGGGTGATTGGGTTGTAATTATTTGTTTTTAAGTATCGTTTTGAGTCTTTTGGTCTATTCTAAGAATACCATCAAAGACTTTAGTATTTGAAAATGATTTTGCACAGACAAAAATTTGCTACATGCTGATGTAATTTCATCTTTTTCACTAAGCAGGTCCTACATAGACCCCTTTTTCTACCTTCTCCCCAACCTTTTCTACCTTCTCGACTAGACTTCTTTCAAAGCCAAACTCAGATGTTATCTTTTGTTTTCCAGCTTTCCTTAGGTTGAATTAATTATACTTTATATTTCATATATTATGCTTTATATATTTATTGCACTATCATGTCATATTATATTTTTTCTCCTCTGGACTGCAAAGTTCTAAAGCTTATTCCCTTTCTCCTCAGTATTTCAGTTAATTAATTAATTTATTTATTTTTAATTTCACTAAGAAACATAAAAACAAATGCCTGTTCAAAAAAATTCAACTGTAGACAAGTAGCTCGGCCCAAGACCCTTCCTTTCCCAGAGGTGACTGCCATTTTATAGTTTAGTGTATATTCTTTCAGAGCTTTTCTCATTTATCTGTATATCAGTGTATATACACATGTAGATTTATGGTTTATTTTGTTTTGTTTTCCAGTAAATGAGACCATATTATGTGTATTTTTCTAGAACATGTTTTTTCACTAAATATTTTTGTCTTGAAGATCTTTCCACAATAATACATGTAGATCTACCTCAGCTAAGTGAATTGTATTTCATGGAAGGAATATATCATAATTTATGTACTGGTACTTTTCATCTTAATGCTCCAAAGCAAATTAAAGAATAGGTTTTATTGATATTAAAATATTTTATTAACAAAATTTCTTTGCTTTAGATTTTACACCCAGATTTGGAAGTAGCAGATCATGCTTTTCCTCCTCCACGAACAGCTTTATCCCACTCAAAAATGCTGGTAAGAGTTTAATATTTAAATTTGATGCTTTTAAAAAGAACTGTACTTTTATTTGTAGGGCTGTTAAAGAAGTTGAGTGAAGTTAGAGTTATAGGGGCAGCATGGTAAAAAGTTCCCCAAATTAGAATTTAGGAAAATTACTACAGACTGTCCTTTTGTCCTGCTCAGGGAGAAACCACAAGGCAGTGCACTGACCAGAAGAGTGGGGCTAAGACTGTTGCCCTAAGGAGGCGTTAGTAAGTGCAGGACAGAAAATCAGAACCTAGACTATATCCTGGAAAATTGTGCCAAACATCAAATTGAAAGGGTCAGGCAAGGATTTTTAAAAAAGGGGGTGTGGGGGAAGCTTACAAAAATGGAAACAAGAATGTTGATAATAGGACAGAATCAAGTTTGAAGAGTGACTGGTTGTAAATAGTACCAACTAGAAGCTATAAAAGGGTGAATGTATGACAGCCCCTTTTTTATTTTGCCCAGTGCATTGTTTAGAGGTGCCAATAAAGAGTCTCATAGAGCTGGACATATTTGACAAATAACTTAAGCATTCTTGACCTTCATTTCCTCCTCAATTAAATAAGGGGTTAAGTAAATAAATTTGTAAGTTTCTTTATAGTTCTAAAACTGTGATTCTGCTAAAACCTGGATTACCAAAACAGATTTATAAAAGCATACCTTAATAATAAATGAATAGATCTTTATAAGTTGGATAAACTTTGGAAGAATTTCACATGCTTTTAAAATATAATCTTTTAAGGGTTTTTCCCTTTTATATTTGTAAGTGTAATTCCTTTGGTGGATATAAAAATCAAAGGATTTGGGCCCTATGCCCTTCTCTAGCACATAAAAGAGGAGACTCCATGACTTATTTTTTCCTTAGGGGAAAATTGGATGTACTAGAGGCAAGTTATGTTTATTTCTATATAAAGAACTATTTAACAGCCTAAGGTGACCAACAATGGGATGGACTAGAAGCCTGCCACTCAGGTCTGCCACAAATGAGACTTATGTGAAGGAAGCACAGGAAAACTTATTCTTTCCAACTTTTTTTCCCCACTTCTTTGATTTGATGATATTTGTTTGAAAAAAAATTAAATTACCTAACCTGTTTCTTCTTATACTTTTAGGATAAAGAAGTGCGAGCAGTTTTCCTTAGATTATTTGCACAACTTTTCCAAGGATATAGATCATGCCTACAGCTTATAAGAATTCATGCAGAGCCAGTAATACATTTTCACAAAGTAAGATACAGTACCATATTGTATCTGTCCAAACGTAGACTCTAATTTGATAAAACTACTTGGTTGTCTTTTTCTAGCTATGTATCTTGACCTTAATTTATCAACTGTGATTACTTAAAATCTCGGCTTTATGTGGTCAGATGGCAATTCTTAATACTATGGAACTGACCTAATTAATGTTTTCTTTTAGAATATGTTAATTTTAAATTGTTTTTTCTTTTAAAGTTAAGTGTTAATTTCTGATTTATCCCCCTGCCTTCTAGACAGATTCATTTTTATTCTTATCAATACATGTAGTATTTCAGGTATCAGGCAAAAACCCTTTTTGAGAGAAATGTATTTTATAACAGCATATATTTATACATGAAAGCATCTATATAGGCTTTGATCTTTCTACTATATATTTGTTTTTACCATTTGTCCATTACCAAGTGATAAATTATCATTTCACTTTCTTTCATTACAGACAGCTTTCTTGGGGCAGCGTGGTTTGGTTGAGAATGATTTCCTCACTAAAGTACTCAATGGAATGGCATTTGCAGGTTTTGTTTCAGAAAGAGGTCCTCCCTATAGAACCTGTGATCTCTTTGATGAGGTATAGTTCTTATAAAATGAATACATTATTGATAGATAAAATTAGACAAGTAGTTGAAAGTAGAGACATATTTAACATTTATTTAAAATCAGATATATATTATCCATTAAATATAAAATAATCCAAATATTGTTTATTATTTTGCTTATCAAATCTTGATAGTTATAATGTGGATTAGAAAAATTAGAAAAAATATAATTATATCTCAGAAATACATAAAGATTTTTAACTGAATTTTAAATAATTGGTTAAAATCATTTTGAAAATTTAAGTGATTGTATAAATAGAACTTTTGTTTTTGAAGGCAATAATACAGTGATTTATTTATCAGTCTCATAGGGACAAAGGTCTAGTTTTGATCTATAGATAAGTGACCTCAAATTGCAGTTACATTTAGTCTATCAGTGTCATAGAGCCATAGTTTAATTTTGTGGCATTTCTACTAATCAATCAGCATTTGTTTTGCTCCTTTAGGAGATATTAAATATATGGAAGACTAGTTTAGTCTCCATTTTCAAAGAATTGGCCATATAAAGGGAGAAATGAAGTAAATGTGATTCAGAATAAGGATCCTGTTTTGCATTGATTGTGCTTTCTCTTTTTTTTAAAGCATCTTTCCATTTATTGCTTAACTCTGTGTTCACAGCAGCCCATTCTGATGGATAGAATGTGCAGTATTATTCCCATTTCAGTTTCTGAAAAAGCACTGTATTGGAACCAATACATTTAAAAGTTTCTTGAAGTCTATAAAAGAAAGTCTATCCTAGCACCCAAGATAATGGAGAATAGTAACAGTGATCATATTTTGCTGCTGGTGGTTTTATTTTATATAGAGAAGACAGGAGGAACCAAGGACTTAAAGGTACTTGGTTCAGAGGAGTAGGATCTTTTATTCTCAATAAAGATAGTTTAGTATTCATAGGTAAGAACTAAAGAAGAGGTACGTTTTAGTTCTGAGGATGAAGACCTGCACCAAATGCTTTAGTTAATAACACAAAGCATATGAAAATTTAGAAGGAATTATCCTGAGGTAGACAATTTTTTCCTAATCAATTATTGCTCATACATTTTCCATTACTAACATTTAATATGATTGACCAGTGATAATGCTAACATATATATCAGCCCTTAGATCCTGAATTAAGTTTTATGGGGTTAAATTAGATGCTCTCCAAGGTCCTTTCTAGCTCCTACATTTTGTTAGTCTCTGAAGCTTCATGAATAGTAACATTGGTTTACTAAAATTTCTTTTACTCCCTCTGGTAGCTTCATCACAACTAAAATGTCAGATTGATTACTTACAGAAAACTTGCTTGCCACAGACTTTAACTGTCTTTGTAGGTCCTTCCCCTGCCTACAGTGCCCTTTCTCTACCTTTCAGCCTAACCATGTCCCCTTGTTCTTCACACTCTGTTCCTGTGTCACCACCTCCTCTAAACTTTCCCACACTAATTGACTCTGAGAGCCACTAGACAGCATTAGGCTTCATTTTATGTCTAACTTGATATGATAACTTATTTTTTGTTATATATTTTATATATGTGTATTCTCTAAGTTGGAAGCAATAAGGCAAGGACTCTGTCCAAGATTCCTGTTGGGTCTCCCCTTAGTCTTCATTCAGTTCTTTGTCCTGCCTACAGTGATGACTTTTGGTGTCTTACTTATATTGCTTGAAAGCCAGTTGGCTGTATGTATGCATCAGTCAAGGGCCTAAGAGAAACAAGGCACCAGACCTAAATGATTTCTCATTCTCTCCTCTTTGGCCATTTGCGATATTGCTTGAAAGCCAGTTGGCTGTATGTATGCATCAGTCAAGGACCTAAGAGAAACAAGGCACCAGACCTAAATGATTTCTCATTCTCTCCTCTTTGGCCATTTGCATGAGAATGTGCTTTTGTAGGAAAGTAGATTTGCTTCTGGAAAGCGATCTTTGTTTTCACTTAGCCTAGGGCAGTCTACCACATGGGGTCTTAGGGAGCTTTGAGAGGCAGTTTGCATTGTGCATTGTCTTGTCCTCCCACTCCCATAAATAGACATCTTAGAATGAATAAAACATTTGTCTTTGACAGTCTTTCTGAATTTTGGCCTAGGATTGGCAAAGCTTCAGTTTTATTGTCTTGTCCTCCCACTCCCATAAATAGACATCTTAGAATGAAAAAAACATTTGTCTTTGACAGTCTTTCTGAATTTTGGCCTAGGATTGGCAAAGCTTCAGTTTTATATGTTTATCTGCTCCTGGAAGTCTATTAGTTCCTAGAAGGAAGAATCCTATATTGTACTTTTTTTTTTCCATCTACTTACTCTCCCACAATTTTTTTCTTGTCAGCACTCTTTTCTCCACTCTAAGTACACAAACTCACACAGTTCTTCCAGTAAGTTAGTTAATAGGGAGATGGACTAGAATATGCATAATTTGAGAACTAGAAGGAGACTAAAGGCCATCTTGTTCTTCCATCTTATTTTAGAGACAAGGGAAGTGAAGCCGAGGAGTTTTAGTGACTTGTCTCAGATCACACTGTCAGCAGAGCTAGGACTAGAGTCCGAGCAAACTGACTTGAACATTTGACTCATGTTTTGTGAATTAGGGAAATGTTTGGAGGCATTCTGACATTCTGAATTTCCTGAGTGAGAGAATCTTCTGAGCAAGACCTATGCAATGACAGGGCCTGAGTTCCAAGAATGACTTTTTCCTAGAAGAAATAGGGCCCAAAATCATCAGGGAGGGACCACCAGACAATCTAAGGATTCAGCTAACTCTGTAACCTCAGAATAGAAGTGATACCCAATAAAAATCTAAAGTATTTTGCTTTAAAAATAGTGTATATTTTTGATGTATTTTGGCTTGTAAATTGTATGAAATTATCACAAATTGTATGCTTTTTCAATTCAGCATATTTAGGAGTTGATGTTTTGCCATTTGATTCTTTTTCCAAGTTGGTAGCCTTTGAAGTAGAGAGAATTAAAATTGAAGAAAATAACCCGTTGAAGATGATAAAGCATGTCAGAGAACTTGCTGAGCAACTATTCAAAAATGTAAGTAAGAATATTTAGACAGTCATTAATTTAAAAAGTATTAATAAAGCGTTTTGTTTATAAAACAAAAAGCTTCATCTTTCTAGTAATAATCGTTTTGCTCTCGATTATGTTAAAAAATATTACAGTTGATACTGTATATCAAAATAGACCACATTTTTCAAAATTATTTTTGTCAATCACTGTATCATGAAAACATCTTAGCCACAATTTTTCAGTTTGTCATTTGCCCTCATTGTGATTTTCATTTGGGTCTCAATTTTAAGACTAAAAATTAGACTCACTGGAGACCAGAACCACTGCAGGCAGAATTGAGCAATGTACCCTGCTTCAGCCTGGTACAGTGTTTTCAGTTTGTCATTTGCCCTCATTGTGATTTTCATTTGGGTCTCAATTTTAAGACTAAAAATTAGACTCATTGGAGACCAGAACCACTGCAGGCAGAATTGAGCAATGTACCCTGCTTCAGCCTGGTACAGTGTTTGTCAGCTAGATTGGGAAAATCATTTGAGTTGCACTGTTTTGAACAGAGAGTTATAAACTAAAAGAATTGGCAAGTGATCACAGCAACTGAAGGGTGAAAATATTCCCTGGGTAGAAGAAATGCAGTAAGCTAAAAGGATTGAGATGTAGTAAAGTGTGAAATAACATTTTGGATACCAGGAAAGAAGAGAGCCAAAGATGACAGGGAGATTATGTGCATGTGGAAAATTGGATTTTGGCTAATGAGTGCTGGTCATTCCTTCTGCTTGTGAAGTTTTGAGTCCTTTTACTAAGAAAAGTAAAGTAAATCGAAAGTGTGATCCTCCAGGGAATAGTTGAGGGAAGATGTATTTTTAAGAAAATAAAGTTAAGAAGGATCTGGGGGTCAGTGTAGGTATTGTTTAATTTAGTTATTTAACTAAGTGAAACTTTTTGGACAGTGGGTAATCAGTATTTTGTCACTTTCATTTGAAATCTGAGAACCAATCTGATAAAAGCAGGGTATTAAAATGTGTTTCTTTGTTTTATACTATTCAGTTATTTCTGAGTTTTAAGTTTTGCATTCAGAACGTGACCTTCCTTTGAGGGAAAGATACTTTTTCGAAAGAGAACAAAGCAGAGTTCGAAGGTTCCATATTTGAACAAACAAAATCCATCTTTTTTGAAATGAGCTTATCTAATTTTGGTGAATAATTTGAAGATTAAGTTTTATTTTACACATTGCTGGTGTTCATTATAAATTCTGGAAATATATATATGCTTTGCCTATAATATAAATGGAACAATAATAAGACTAACACATGAAGCAATCATTAGCCATAGCTTTCTTGTTCCTGGCAAAAGATGAATTTAGTCTCTCTTTTAAATCTTAACACAGTGGTACTTTAGTTGACTGTTACTTGTAGATTACTAGTTTCTCTACTAAGAAGTGATACTTTCATATCCCTAAATATATCACATTTTAAATCATCACATATTGGCTTAGCAAAGGTATAAATAAATGTTTTTCCTGGCAACTTTCATGTCAGGGTCTGTTTTTCACATTTTTTGGCTGACCACATTTTTAGTTATTTATAACTATGCCCAATATAATAAATGTATTTCTTGATTAGCATGCTGAAACTTAAAAAAAAAAAGTCTGTTAGAAGGAAAACTTGTATTCCGTGCTGGTCTTTGTCCCTTATGATGGCTGGGTAGAAATGATATATATAGCATGATCACATGAGAAATTTTTGTTAACCTATTGTAATAATAATCAACATTGAGTGTTTAGCACAACATGCCAGGCATGAAATTAAGCACTTTACATACATCATCTCTAATCCTTAAAACAGCATTGTAAGGTAGGTGTCACTATCCCTATTTTACCAGGGATAATTGGCTCAGGATCATATAGCTAGTAAGTGATGAAATCCAGATTTTATTTTATTGACTTATTTTACTTTCATTTTTATTATTTTGGGGTAGCTTATCCATAAACATGATTCGAAATTTTAAACATATAAGGAGGCATTTGATGAGAAGTAAATCCCACTCCCACCCTCCAGTCCCATCCTTTTTAAAGAGGAAACCGCTATTTTTATATATCCTCCCAGAAATATTCTATGAATATATGAGCATAAGTGTATTTATACGTTGCTATCCCCCTAAACTCAAATGACATGGTGCATGCTATTCTATATTTTACTTTTTCAATTTACTGTCAAAACTTGGAGATGATTCTATGTCAATGCGCACATTTTTTAAATGGCTGCAAATGTATGAATGTACCATAATTTATTTATTTGTCCCATTGATGGACAGTGCAATTGTTAATAGTCTTTTTGCTATTATACACAATGCTGAAATAAATATTATTACTTACACCTTAACACACATGCAACTCTGTCTCTTCAAAATACATTTTTAGAAGTGAGTGGTATTTTAAATTCTGATAGATGTTGTCAAACATTTCTACTTAGTGATAGGGTCAATTTATATTCTTACCATTAGTGTATGGAAGTGCCTGTTCTTTACTTTCTCTTCTACACAGCATTTTATTAAACTTTTGGATCTTTTCTAACCTCATAAGTGAAAATAATACCACATTGTTATTTTAATTTACACTTCCCTTATTATGAATAACATTTTACATTTGTTTAAATTCTGTATTTTATTTCCTTTCTTTGCTTTTCGGGGGAGGAGTATTGATTTTTTAAGAACTCTTTGTATATTTAAGAAGTGTTACTCTTATTTGTAATTGATTTCCAAGGATTCTCATCTATTTGTAATTTGTCTGAGCTTTTTAGCTTTTTAGCTTTTTTTTTCTTTTGAAGAAAATGTCTTTAGTTTTATACACTCATATTTATTAATTTTTTTAATGGCTTCTTTGATTATATACTATATACACAGTCTTTTCTCATTCTCATATTTTAAATTATTTTTTATTATAGTAATTTGATATTTATATCTTTAATTAATCTGGAATTTATAAAGATTGTCAACTTAGTTATTTTTCAGGGAAAACCAGCTCTCTTCAGATATTTTATTGACTAATCCATTTTCACCCAATGACGTATTATACTAACTGCTAAATTTTTAAATTTATTTATGTTTTTTTAAATTGACTGATAAAATTGTGCATATTTATTGTGTATAACTTGATGTTTTGAAATATTTATATTCATTGTGGAATAGTTAAATCTAGTTTATTAATAAGTGCATTACCTCACATAGTTGTCATTTTTGCAGTGAGAACATTTAACATTCACTGTCTTTGCATTGTTCACAAATACAGTATATTGTCATTAATAATAGTCACCATGTTGGTACAGTAGATCTTTTGAACTTATCTCTCTTATCTAACTGTAATTTTATGTCCTTTGACCAACATCTCCCATTTCTCCTCTCCCCCTGATCACCCCATCCTCTGGTTACCACCATTCTACTCCCTACTTCTACAAGATCAATGTTTTTAGATTCCACATATTAGTAAGATCATGTGGTGTTTTGTCTTTCTGTGCTTGGTTGATTTCACTTAGCATAATGTCCTCCAGATTCAGCCATATTGTCACCAACGACAGGGGTATCCAGATTTTAAATTCAGGAATTTTCATCTGTCCAATTTTGAAGCCTATGTTCTTTCACTCTGTTAGGCTGGCTGATCTCTAATTGGAAAAAATAGCGATGTTTCCAGTAGTTGACTTTACACTTTGTTCTTTATAAAGTGCTTTAGCATAGTTTCTCATTTGATCTTGGAAACAATCCTGTGAGATAGATAGATAGGGCAGGTGTTGATATGTGAGCAAACCGAAGATTAGAAAGTTTTTTTCTTGCCCAGGTAGGAATGATTTTTTGATGGATTTTAAAGAATAGCAAAATGTCAAATGGGAATCAGTTCAATCAAATCAGTTAAATGGGACTGATTCCTTTAATAACAGGATGTTTATTTTTAGGTCTTTACAAGGCTATTTCAGAACTACAGAATTTTATAGCCACTTAGAGACCAGAATTGGGGTTCTGATACAAGTTTATCTCTACTTCATGACTGAGTGCCCAATATATGCAAATCTAACAGGATGTTTATTTTTAGGTCTTTACAAGGCTATTTCAGAACTACAGAATTTTATAGCCACTTAGAGACCGGAATTGGGGTTCTGATACAAGTTTATCTCTACTTCATGACTGAGTGCCCAATATATGCAAATGATTGTGCCAAGACACTTTAATGCAAAGACAAAATAAATAATTCCTGTCTTGCTATCCTAGAATTTAAATTTTATGGTATGTAGCTTACACTAAACCAACACAGAACTGAAAACTGCAATAAAATGAATATCTGGTAATTATACATTCTTAAAGATGAATATAAAATACAAATAGCCCCTGTTCTTTAAAAATGACACTTAAAAAGTAATCATCATGAGGTATTGTATTACTATGTAAGAGACTGCATTCCTAGGTGAAAACTCTTCAAATGTACTCTAGATTTCAGGAGCCCTTATTGGGCTTTTTTTTCACAATCTAATTCCATTCTATTTAATTTAATTAATTCCATCATTTCAGTATGTACTTACCAAGTGTCTCCTAGTGCCAGGCATTTTCTAGGTACATAATTCAACTAATATCCTTCAGAAGATGATACCCATACATGATGAGTAAGAATTTGGGAATATCTTCACGGATTATCATCAGACTTTCTAAAATCCCTTCCAGTTCTAGGATTCTGAAGTCCATCATAGTCCCAATATTCCTGAAGTAAATACTTTAAGGTTAAAAAGTAGAACATGATGGTAAAGTTACTTTCTTGGGTTGTGCAGGAAATTGGGGGGAGGGAAGTAGAATAGTGTCACTGTAATGAAAATAATCCACATGGTTCTATTTTTAAATAGTCAGGTGTGGTGGTTTTTTAAAATCACATTTCTAAAATTCCATTTTGGTAAACAAAAATCAACCATATAATTTGACTGTTTCTTTAGTATTGGGTTAGAATTGAGAACTGGTGATTCCATTTCAGAGGTTTGTAAATACTTTATTGC